AAAAACGGGGCGTGACCGGGGACGTTCATCTTCACCAGAAAGCCGTGGTAGTGGACTTCGTGCATCTTTATCCACACGCGGAAGAAAATGGTGAAGGGAAATGCCAAGGTCTGACCCATGCATGGTCCCCATTAGACTCACGCCCCACGAGACTCACATCATCTGGAATCATCTCGATCACCAATTCACCAGCTCACCAGGCAGGTCTGAATACCAAGGCCCCGTGGAAATAGAGAAAAAACACGCTTCCGACTTCCGACCCACCATTGAGAACAAGTGTATCGCCTGAATTTCCGAACAACCCTGGATTTTACAGGCCTTTTCACAAGACCAAAAAGCATGTTCATTGGTCTTGAAAACAACGGCCGTTTTTCGTCGGGCGAAGTCCTGTCACACGAGCCACTCGGACGGTCGACCCAGGTGTGGCTGTTTCTCGTTGATTCGGACGGTGCTTCTCGGAAAGGAGAAAAGGAAAGGTGGATCTGTCAAGTTTGCCAACAATGCTCATAAAGGCTCCCTATAACAAACGAACGTTCAATGAGCAACGGAAGGCATGTCTTTTTGGTCCTGGTCTTTTTCCCCCCGTCTATGTACCCCCGTTCGTAGCATCCGAACGCTCCTAGTAGTAAGGCCAGGAGCCCCCGAGCTCCTGGGGGTCCCGGCCCACAAGGCGGAGCGGAAGTAGGGCTTCTCGCAGAAGTCCATCCCTTCATCTTTGCCTCGAACGGCGCTGGTCTCGCACGAGCGCAGCCGTCGTTCCGACGGGACGAAAGGCCGAGGGCCGGTCGGCGTCCGGGGACTGGTGGGCCCAGTTTTGAGATGGATGGGAAAGAGGTCTCTCAAAGCCTTGTAAGACTCTGAAGCCTCTGAAGCTGGGTAGAGGCTCTTTCGAAGCTCTCTAGAAATCTAACTGCCACACCGAAGAAGGGCGGGAAGAAAGAGCTCAACACACCTGGCGATGTTCCACCATACTCTCAAGATGACCCTGACCCTTTTGGCCTCCGGATGGTCTCGGCTCAAGAATAGGCTACCTCCCACTTCCCACCCGCTTGCCCCGCCCAACGGGGTGAATGCAAACATGTGCGCACATTCACGTTCGCTCTGTGAATCCCACATCCCACACGATGGGCCAAAGAGCTGTGTACCGTGGTGTGCCCAACAAAAGCCACTTCACCCGCCCGTCGAAGTCTTCGTGCGTTTGTGTCCACCCTTCTTCGCCAAGCCGAGTCTCCCCGGGTTTCTCCGTTCCGGACGGTTCTCGCGCCACCGAAAGGAACTCTGTGGCGGTTTTTTCGCGCGGTCTCACGTGCCTGGTCCCTGAAAACCCGCCAGGACCAATGACTGGATCAACTGCTTCCCTGCGACGAAGGCTGCGAGAAGAGCAGCAAAGGGCAGCGAAGGCAGTGCCCCTCCCATGTTCTGTCACCAGGTGGGGGGTTGAGGCTCTTCTATTTGGGCTACAAGAGGCCCACACAGGACTGCTGACTTGCTTTGTTGTTGTTGCAAGCATCCAGAAGTGGATGTATATAGATAGAGCATGATAGACAAGAAGTCAATCCAATATAGCAAGTACCTGGTCTGCTGGGATGGGGGGGCAACGCACTTGGACCATAACTCCGATGCATCACGCGGAGTCATATTCACTCATATTGCAACTGATGCCATGCAATGATGATCTTGGTTTACGCATCCTACTTACTATCTTATAGTATCTTATATCACCTCCAGTTCGATGCCCGGGCCATCCGACCCGACCGAGACCAACGGACGTGTTCGCCCAAAAACCTAAGCACACCACGTGTTCGCCGGCGAAGCTTCCGCCGAAGGGGTAAGATTCAGTATCGAATAGGGAACGCATGGTCGATGTGTGGGCCCCAGGTCATGTGGAAGGTCATGAGTTCCCCTTAGAAGGTCAGTTCAAGACATGTCATTCGCTACCAAAAAAGGAAAGAAAAGGCCACAAAGGTGATGTCACACCGTGCCGCACTGCTTTCAAAAACCCGATATATAGTCAGAAAAATGGCTGCATACTGTAAATGAATTGCTGATACTTTCGTCTGGCTAAGCTAGCTGCAGCTAGCTGTTTGAGACCAATTGCACTTTTACGATACAGGTCAATGATTCAATGATGTAAATGGAGGACATCCTGCACCACTTGGAGCCACTTGGCACCTTTGAATCATGTGGCTTTCCCGGGGGAGCATGCGTTGTCGTGCAGCATTTCTTCCGCCCGTCGATGCGATCCCGCGCGATGCCCATGGGGCATCGATCGGCCACACGAAGTTCTGATCGGCTTGACAACTCGAGAGAGAGGCCAACCGCCAAGCCGGAAACGAAGACCTCCAAAAGGGTGAACGTCATCTACAGATCATCTATATATATATATACAATCTACAATCTACCTCCAACCGGAAGGCTGCCAGCCTGCCAGCCCCATGTGTTTTTCCCAACACACACCCACCGGTCAAGCCCAAAGCTGAAAGGATCCGAACCGCTCCCACCGAAGATGCGAAAGAGAAGGTGACCAACCTAATAGCCATGGGCTCCAACCTAGTAGCAATGGTCTCCACCCTAGTAGCGATGCCTCCAACCTAATAGCAAACTATATCGGCCTAATTAATTCTAATTAACTTTAATTCTAATTCGTGATCGAATTCTTGTTGCTACAATAATAGCTTCTTGTTACTAGTAGTACGGCCAGGCCTAGTAGCGTCCTTGCTCCTAGTAGCGATGCCCTTTGCTCCTAGTAGCAAACTAAGTTGGAACCAAAACATCGGCCTTCTTCAACTTTGCCCTTTCGAGCTGCTTGCAATAGCCTCGGTAGGCAACCAGAAACTGCTCGATCAGTCAGGGTGCTCGGAGCAAAAGCAGCATCCGCGTTTGAAAAGTATTATGGGCACTTGCTTGGCACCATTCACGATGAAGACTTGAAATCGAAATCCTCAAGGACAAGTAACAGAAATCATATATGCATATGTATATTTGTTCATTCATACATAAATCTGTATCAGCTAAAAGAGTAGCAACATTTCATTGTCATTATCATGCCCTATTCTAAGTGTTGCTGTTTCTGGTGCGAAAAGATCAGGAGAAAAAAAACTTGCCGATCTCCATGTGTCTCCAGGTGTCTGAATCTCGTGAGGTGTTCTTCGTTCGTATCTGGCCTCTTGTTCATACGAGCAGGGATTTGAACATTGGCTTATACAACTGATCTGCAGGAGGGGAAAAAAAATGACGTGTTTTCTGGCGCAAGAGCGAATGACAGTGTAGATGCGAATGGCAGTCAAAGGTCGGTGAAGACATTGCCCTGAGAAATGGCCAGTCTGAGGAACACGAAAGGCGAGTGGGTCAACTCTGCATCCAGAAAGGACCGCATTCACCTCAGAGTTTGAAAGGATGTCCTGGGGGTTGACAGATTTAGGCGCCACCCGGTACACCAGAGAGGTGTCGTAGATGTCGAAGGCCCCCCCCTTCCTCGAGTCTTAGTCCTTCAATTCTGGACGACCTGTGACTGGCCATCGGTCGTTTGTCCGCGGTCATTGCCACATCCGAAACCTCTACGCACTGACGGCCGCGGACGTTTGCTTCACTCCATACCCCCCGCGTTTGGCTTGAAAGGCACGTCCGCCACCCCCTTCGGCAGTCATCCGCCGATTCGGTACCGCTGCGAGGAACTGCACCGGCTGCGGAATCGCCCTGAATGCCAGACGAACTACAAAACGCTTTTACTAACGCTTGAATACACAACAAAAACCAGGTCAACCCTCTTTTAAATGGTCTTTGAAGGCTGGGAACATCAATTATCATGAACTGAAAACCACATAAAACCACCAAACCAGGCTGTCCTGCCCGGGCGGGACAACCCTCTTAAGCGGCCAGGGCCTCCGGGCTCCTTCTTCTCCCGCACGCCCGCTGGCAGAGTCGCCATGACCGAGCCTAGACGCGCGCCGCTCGGCCGGTCGCGTTGATCCAAAGCGTTGAATCGATCAGAGCGTCTAATTACAAGCTTCTTGTTACTAGTAGTAAGGCACTTGTTACGAACGTAGCGAACATTGTCTCCTACAAGAAGAAGACTACGATCCCCGTCACCACCTCGTCACCGTCACACACCCCACCGCCACTCCTGGCAGTCGAACCGAACTTCCGCGCCGCTGAGCCGAAGAGGCAACGGCGGGTGCAGCACAGGGTGGCACCGTTCGTTTGAAGGCACCGTGGCACGTGTGTCTTCATTCTTCTTTGTTTGGAGAGACCCCCTGGTCCAATAAATAGACTGGTCTAGTTTCCTTCTTCCAGGGGGGTCGAACTGGCAGGTCTCCCTGTTTCCATACACCCCCCCCCCCCCAAAGTGTCACTGTTGCACTCGGACGAAGACATGACATGAAAGCGGAAATAGCCACTCCCTGCCAGCAGGTGATGGGTTCATCGAAGGGTATTTCAGTATTTCATGCACTCCCGGCCATGTCCGATGATCCCACGACATGGATACCGAAGTGATGAACCCGCATGTTGCACCCCAGAAACTGAAAAGTGGAGCACCAAATAAAAAGAACTCAGGATCCAGGAAATCAAATTGTTGGATGAAGAAACGCAAAGAAACCAAGTTGAGAATACCTTAGTCACAGAGACAGGGCAAAGTCCTTATATATCAAAAGACTCCTCGATTGGTTGTAGGCTTCTGATTGAAGTCCCGAAATCCGGTGGACAGCACGTTCGTGCATAAGCACGAGACTGGAAATCCATCGATGGCGTCCAAATGTTAGATGGTTAGAAGATGCAAGACCAATCACGTCACAAGTGTCCAAATCCAAACCAAGCAAGCAAACGTTGTCAATCAGTTGTGTAGGTGCCCACCTGCCAATGTCTTGGCCCTATAGAACAGTGCAACTAAGTCACCTCTCCCTCTTTTTCGGGTGTTTTTAAACCTGCTCCACACCATGCCTGGACCGTCGGCACCGGTGTCGCCGGCGACACCGACACGGACCGTGACACCGGGCGACCGCCTGCGCTTCGGCCATGAGCTCTGCCCAAGTGCTATGCGCACCCCTCGCCACCACCGGGATCGTGGAGCGGCGCGGTGCACGGCGCTGGCGCCGGACATGGAGTGGTCCCCGGAAATACGGACGAGCAACTTCAGCAATGGCCTCCAACCTAGTAGCTTCTAGCTACTAGCAATGGCATCCAACCTACTAGCAATGGCCTCCAACTACCAACTTCAACTTGGTTTGGGACATTCACTTCAAGTGCCCCAAAAGGGATCCCAACTATAGCTAGATTGCGTCTCTGAAAAAGGCACAACAGCACAACACGGTGAGTTCTCCGCGAACTCTGTGCCCAGGCGATTCAAACTCTATGCAAGCCCAGAACCCGGAAGGCCAGAAATCCAGAGTCGATGGCATCTTGGATTTGCTTATATAAGGAATCACAAAGGGGTGGTGTTTAGTCCCTAAGTGAGTGGATCATGGGCACCCCTATCCTCCATTAGGCACCCCTTTGTGACTGCTGGCATAAGGAACTGAAACAGAATCTCCCCCAGAAGAGGATTCAGCCAGTTCAGGGAATGAAAATCACCCAAACAAAACGCAAAAACCCGGGGCATCGTACCTGCGCGCCAATCAGCTCTTACAAAAAAGGCCACATGTCAAAACACAAGCAAAACACCACAACCGCTCCCGCTTTTTCCGGCGTGACGTCTAACGCGCTCCCGTTGTTCTTCCGATCCACTGCGTCCGGTGCCTGGAACTCGTGCAGCTGCGCGGACTGCGAGCGCTCAGGGGCTCCTGGGGACCGATTCCGTCGCCGTCGGTCTTCGGCGTTTTGGGAGACGGTGGAGGTGGGAGCAGCGCCGCACCACCGCTCATAAGTCCAGTCACGACTCAGTTTGACCCCGGGCTGGTAGTGGTGGATAATGACTACCAGGTGGAGTCAAATGAGTGAATACGGAAGTTCTGGGATACAACTACCAAACTATGAATGCTGTTCTGGGCTGTGCTGCTCAGTCAGCCATAGCCCGATGCGGGGCGAGTCAACCGTCCTTCTGTGTGAGCGAAGAGGTGCAGAGAACTGCACCCTTCACTCGCTCGCACACTCTGCACGCTTTCTTCACAAGAAGCGTTTTCAACAAATCACACTCCTCTCTGCCTTTAGGAATACTTCCACATAGCTTTGAGATGCTTAATGCTGCAGGTGAGGATCAACAAGAAAACTAGCCATCATGTTTGTATCTGTTGACAGAACTACCTGAAGATGGCATGAGCTGTGGCTACCAAAACTTGTTCTTCACAATTCCGACTTGTCAATGCCAACAGAACAAACCCACCGGGTACCATAGGGTGCTTGCAGTACTTTGTCTTTATGATCGAACCGGTCTTCTCACTGCCACGAAGACTCGCTCGTGCGCACGCTCCTCGCTGGAAGCACGGCTCCGGGCGCCACACTCGCCTCACCACGTTCGGTGGTGGGTCAGCGCGCCATCACTCCACTTCCGCGCTGTAGAAACAGCATTTGGGTTCGCGAGGGACCTGGTGAAAACACTCCCTGGGATTCGTGGGCACACTTCTCAACCAAACAACCTTGGTTTTACGGATTTGAGACGACCACACCAGGTCAACCAAGCTTTTTGACGGAAGGCGACAAAGGGCACTTCCGCCTCGTCGGGGTCGGAGTTTCGCGACTTGGGGCAGAAACCAGATTCTAAGTTCACTTTGGTTGTGAGTTGAATCACCATTGTGCGAAAAGCTCCTGAGCAACGGAGAACTCTCCTTGCTGGAGGAAGATCATCTTCTCCTCATCCCAGCCAAATTCCGCACACAATCAGTCTATCAGAAAGAGTCTACCACCATCAAAACTCTCTGAAACTTCATGTTCGCCAGTGAAAAGATACCGCCTCCTTCCGGCCAACCCCTGAGATTCTCTTTTCTCCTGTGTTTCCCTTCGGACGAACCCTCGGTCCGTCATCCCCCCCCAACCTCCGTCAATCTGCCTGGGCCTCGGGACGGGCACTGAGAAAGCGCCAGCGGTCTGTTCTTTTCTTTGGGGGAGGGTGAAGACTAAAAACCAAGGGTGCCTTGGCCCAAAGATACTCAAACCCAGGCACGGCCCCTGCCAGGATGATAGATCCTGAAACAAACGGAGAGGGGGGGGGTTCGGAGGTCGCATCTCATGTGAGGGAGCACGGGGTAGGGGTGTCTGTCACACAAAGTGGCCGAGAATTACCTTAAGAAATACATACTCCGGTGGATTCGTCACCTCTGACGGAGCACCCTTGAAACCGGAACTCAAAAAAAACGAAACGGAACTCAAACCAGGACTGGGCGCCTGGTACCAACGAAAAGGTGTTCTTTCCCCTCGTAGAGACGGCCCACCTCAGTTCGACCCTTGAAAAACACATGTCAGCCTCCCTTTATGTCCCAGCCTCCCTAATAAAAGCAGGTGTCCCACCGGGGGGGGGTCCACGAGAAGTCCGACCAGGGCAACCTCTTCCACAACCAGTCCCTCTACGACCAGCTTCTGGGCTCCAGGGACAAAAAGGACGGCAAACCTGCAGGAACCATCGTGTAGCCCTCGCGGATGGGCGATGGCATGGCGGTCCGGTGGCTTGGCAGGTCCGGCGAGGGGGTTTGGACCGGTGGACTGGGTGTTTCTTTTATTGGGTGTTTGTTCCGGATGAAAAGGGGGCGAACGCCTCACCAAATCACGGAAAGCGAAAGGTTCCTTTGGAAGAATTCGAAGGCGATCTCACCAGTAGAGTCGATACGGATTGAATAATAGAAGATGCCGTTGGTCATTGATGTCCTCGCGTTCGATATGGGCTACTGCCGTCGACGTCGGGTAATCCACCCGGTTGCTGCATCTCTTTCGGACAGGGACCCACCAAGAGAACGAAGAGATGACCTGAGTTGACTTCGCCAAACTGGCCACTGGTCGGATCTCAAACTCTGAACTTGATCTTCCTCTTAGCAAGACGACCTCGTAGACCTTCACTCCTCCGGTCGCCCAACGGATCCGAATTGGTCGGTCGCCCAAGTAGCTCCGTCCTCCCGCGGCGTGGCGGGGCGCAGGCGCGGACTGCTGCCAGAGGCCCGGCGCGCCATGCTGAGCGGACGGAGACGAACAGCTCCAGTTCCAATAAAAGATGGAACAAGAGTCGGAACCGCCAAGACCTGGTGTGGTCGAAACAGATCGGAAACACCCATGGTCCCATGGTTGTTATGGATTCAATCCGTTGCTGGTGGAGATTTTCTAGCGGTCGGGTCGGGGTCAGGTATCGATCGTGGTGGCATCATTCCATGTCATTCCCCCAGGGGGTCCTTCGGTCCCCAGGGTCCTCACACCAGTGAGATTTTGACTTTGGTGCTCTGATTGACCCATCTTTGCACTCTCATTGACCCATCACGATGAAGGTCATTGGCAAACAAGTCAAACCAATTCTGGGAGAAGGGATTGCTGTCTGTGGAAATGGAAGATGAACCCCACGCGAAGCGTGGCAGTGCTATGAATGGAATCCTTGTGGACTATCTCATTTGTATGATTGGAGTATCATGGCACATGATGTACCAGGACCATCCAAGGGGTGTAGCACTGGACTACCCTACACCCCGGCCCTGCACTACTTTGACCCATCGGCATGCTCCAGATACATCAAGATCCTACCTCACCGGCCCCGCAATGGGCCCCGCTGTCTGACTGGCCCTGGCCCTGCCTGGGCTTCAAGTCGTGATCCGACCACGGCCGCGGCTTGAAGGCCGAGCCGGACCTGCGCCCACCGGAGAGTCCGTCACCCCGCACCGCTTCCGAATCGTCCAACGAAATGGAACGCTGAGAGCGTTCAAAAGAGTTGGAGAGAGCTGGGAAGCTTCAACAGGACCTGGTGCCATTTCTTCTGCCCCCAAGAGTTCCTTTCCTTGTCAGTCACGGCCACTTTTTTTGAGGTCGATGAACCCCCACCACTTCTGCTATGGACATGCATGACTAAGCAAGAACCACCCAGCTCCAGTATGTACAATACGATCCTTAGACTGCAGGAGAAACCGGAGATTGCCGAGATTGCCTGACTTGCTTTGTTCATCTTTGTTCAGACCCTGCTCTCCTGCTTTTCTCTCCTGTTCTCGATCAAGTTCCTCCCAAAGCTCGAGCTCTTGCCAGCAATCGTAACCCACACGTGCGGTTTTCCTATGCCCATCAAAGGAAACACCTGTGGCGGGTGGTGGACCTGCCCAAGAAAGCTGCTGGGTGGACCGATTCTTTGGTGAGACCAAAAGCCCAACCAACGACGGAACCCGCAAGCGGCTTGGCATAAGGAACTGGAAAAGGAATCTCCCCCAGAGATTCATCCACAGGGAAAATAACTATTATACCCTAAGCAATACCAGGTAGAAAATGACGACTTTTTCTGTTTGAGCACATTCGAGGTGCACTTCATCGGTTCTCTGTAGTCGTTGGCGCAATCGACCCGCAGCCCACAATCGACCCCCCCGGCACAGTGCCTTGTCAAGGAGCCAGCTCTACCTCAAGCTTCTGCGGTTCGGAGTGATCCGGCGAACAGAACGCAGCTCCAGCGAATTGGCGTGGGTGTTTCAAATTGAACTCTGAAATCATATCAATGTCCACTTACCAAACTCCCTCGTCCACTTTCGTCAACGACTCCTCGCCCCTCCCTTGACTCCATGCGCCGAACCGAGCCGAACGCCTCCGTCCCGAACCGACCGAACACGGCCACCGAGGCTTCGGCCGAAGCGTCCGAAGCGTCGAGTCTTCGCGGTGTCACAGGCCATGCTTCGCACGTAGAAGAACTGCACGTCCAGGACTCAGGAACTTCCCCACGGATCCAGTTCGGGGTCGGACCTTCGCCGATCCACGGGTCAGGTCAATCTCTTCGTCCCAAGTCCGGCCGCCCTCGGAAACCGCCCGTGGCACAGTGCGGACCACGGCGCTGCTGAGCAGCACGGGTGGTGGCGGAAGCACCTCCGCCCGGTGGCGCATTGGACTCACTCGTTGATGGGGAACATGAGTTCTGCCCTGAGTGATGGACGCACTCGAGCGTGCCAGGTGGGAAAAGTGGCGGTGCCAGGTGCTTTTAAAAAAATCATACTCCAAGCAGAACCTTCCGGAAGAAAAGGTGCGTCAATTGGGTTCACTGTCGTTGGGGGGGCCCTGTCGTTGGATGCGGACGGCCTTGAGTTGAAATGGGCAAGAACTCACAGGAGGTTGTCTTAAAAGAAGTTTATGAATTGAGTTGACCACTTAAAAGGCAGGAACCTTCCCTTGTCGCCACCAAATCCAGCTGGTACTGCCTGTATGGTGCTTTGGCCCTATCATCTTTGATTCGGAAAATATGTTGAAACACTTTTCAGTAGAAGCGTGGAAAGTCAGACCGAAAGCTCTGGGAGTCTGACACTTAAAACAAAACAGCTTCTCATTCATTCATTATATATATATATGACATGTATGGTCTAAGACTCTCAGGGAAGTTGTACAGAAGTTGCAGCTCTCTCATGTAACACGCTTTCTCAGAAGACTCGCTCGCAAAGAAATCTCACGCAAGTGAGGAGGTCGGCCTAAGAACATGCCTAGAGATGTTCCGCAAAACCTACTGAGAGTGCTCTCTCAGTTTCTACAGTATCTCATACGCTTGTGCGCATGGGCCACCATCCACATGTTGCAGTTTGATACATCTCTCAGTGTCCATTAAAACAAGATGGCCAAAGCGAATGGCCAAAAGCGGTGTGGGCAAATCTTCTCTCTGCCGCAGGGTCTGAGGTGTTCAACCAACCCAAGTCTCGATCTCCAGGACACTTACAGGATTTCGACCTAGGCGCTTCTTCCATCAGAAGGATCCTGTGGATACTGTGTATAGACTGTACATACTATATAGGTGGTATATATGTCATGTTTGTATAACTAGACTCACTGAACCCACTCGAAACTTGCCCTTGACTTCTTCCTTGAAAGCACACACCAAAAAACCGGCACCCCCCACTAAAGAACGCCCTTCCCTGACCAGCCGCGACGCGGAACTTGCACCAAGACCACTGGGGCTGGGCCAACACCTTTAAGGTCTCAAGGGCCATCGCTACCAGTTTGGAGGCCCTTGCTATTCGGTCGGTTGAAGACCTCAGGGGCCTTGGCTTTCTTCGTTCCCACTTCCTCCACTCCTCCACTCCGCCTCCGCCACGAACCCCTCCGCCCGCGGCGCCACATGGGCGGCCAGTGGCCTGCGGCGTGGTCGGTCGCCGAGCGTGTGGAGCGGTCGGTGCTCCAGAACGGGGGGGTGAACTTGGTTGGGTTGATAAAAGAACTGATTCCCTGGGTTGGTTGGTTGGTTGGGTTGGTTGGTTAAAGAGAAATCAAAAAAAAGATAAATCAAAAAAGAATCCGCCAAAAAAATGTTTCGATGAGTCACCGAGTCTTCTGAGATTCTGGGGTGGCTACGTCCGGCCTGGCGGTGCAACCAAACGTTGGGGGTCGTCATAGTGCTTTTGGCCTACTATCAGTTAACAACAAAAACCGTGGAAGCGATGTCGCAGCAGCATGACACCATGTGGGCTGGCTGCTTTTGGGATCTCACCGACCTAGTGGTTTCGGTATCATCACAGCACATAAAGCCATGGAAAAGGAGAAACCATCTCCTTGGTCCAATCAAATACAAACCTCCCTGCCATCATGGAAGTGGAAACCAAGACTGCACGCTCATGTCTTGCTCGCCTGCGGCCCAACCCCCGAGTTCCGCTCTAGCAACTGGAAACCAAGAAATGCACATAATCTTCCTCTTCCAAATCATCCAAATGCTTTTTGTGCAAGGAACTGAAGGGCACCTGATTTCGGATCCCCTCGAAGTCTGAATGGTCTAAATGGCGGGAGCTGATTTTGGGAACATCCTTAACTTCGGGAAGGTAAAGGTATAGTCCTTCAAGAATCTGGCAACAAGTGTGGGGTCTGAAGCTGGTGGCGGCCCCACTCGTTGCACCCTGGATCAAAGGCTTGGACTTCCAGGGCAGGCATGGACGTCAAAAGTGCCTGGCCCACCTTGATTGGCCCAGTCCTCTTCCTCTTCACCATGGATGCTAGGGATCCGGACACTTGCGCATCAACCTCTTCGCTGTAGGCCTCAAAACACAACAATCTTGAAGAGAAAATCGACCCAGCCGTGTTGAACGGAGGGTGGCAGGCACAGATGTCGGGTGGTGAACGCAAATCAATGGGGGGAGGACCGGCCCTAGTATCATCTAGGTATCTATATCTTTGGTTGAGAAGGTAGCCTTTCTTCCAAACTCTTGGGAGTGGCCAAGTTGCGCACGTTGGAACCGATGTCTTTCAGTTCGGTCCCACAGCGAGCCACAGAGAGAAAGACCATGATGGGGGGATAGGGCGGTGAATGGGGGTGGTCCTGAAGGATCTACGGTATTGTTTGCTTCACCATTCTCATTATCATCAAAGGTATTCTACAATGTGTTTCTCATCATCGTTGTCGTCCTCTTCATCATCATCATCATCATCATCATCATCATCTTCTTCTTCTTCTTCTTCTTCTTCTTCTTCTTCTTCTTCTTCTTCTTCTTCTTC